CTAGGGCCCTTACCCGTGCAAGAATTTCATGCACCGGGCCTCTAGTTAAATATTTAAAAAACCAACCAGCCCAGCCAGTGTTGCTCCGTGGTTGAGCCTCAATCTATGAACCAGAGGTCACAGTTTGATTCCTAGTCAAAGAACATGCCCAGGTTGTGGGCTCAATCCCCAGTGTGGGGCATGCAGGAGGCAACTGATCAATAATTCTCATCATTGATGTTTTTCTCTCTCTTCCCCTCTCCCTTCCTCTCTGAAATCAATAAAAATATATTTTAAAACACAAAACAACCATATAGCTGTAGAAAGCACTCTTATTTATGGTTTGCTTCATTACCTTCACCCCCATCCCAGGATAATGCCTGAATAACATATAATCTGGTAACAGGGTAAGGACAGAAGAGCTTACCAAAATATATTAGTTAACGATAAGGAAAATAAAGAAGAAAAGTAAAACATCTGATCTAATTCTATTTGTATTCTCTATTAAGTTTGTTTTCTTAGTGATATCTTCATGATCAGAAAGGAACAATAAGTGATCTTTAGCTAATAATTATATTCAAGGTCTTGGCATTTCAGTTAAACCAAATTAGGTTAATGTAATAATTCCAAGGTGTTTCATAAAAATACTTACACAAAGCAAAAGCTTTGGATCTGCATGAATTAGTTTCACCATGGACAGGAGAAGATACTTATAACTTCTTGTCTCCAGATCTGTAGGTTTTTCTTTAAATTTAAGGCTTGTTACTTTTTCCTTAAACGTAAGACTCTAAAAATAAAAAAATGACATCATCCTATAAGAACCAAATATTGCTCAAGATGATAGCTATCCAACTTTTTAAATTAAATTATTAAAAAAAGCTTTGAAAAAAATCAAGATATTTTAAACCATTAAATTGTGAAATTAGTAGAAACATTCAGTAAGTAAGGTTAACGTTATTCAGCTTTAAAAAAACCAAATTACAATTATTTTTGCAACATTTTGATTATTCTTATATAATCTACCTAATAAAACTTAAGAGAAAATATATTAAAATACTAATAACTTTAGTAGTAGGTGGACTCCTTTGTAAAAAACAATTTCCAAAATGTGAAATTAGGGATAAAATATTTAGTCTAGACCTTTCAAAATACTTTAAGCAATGCATGTAACAAACATTTATCCTACACAGATAAAAACAAGTATTTCATAGAATCTTTAACATTATCAACTGGAAGATGCATCGTTTATGTATGACAGATGAAAAATCACTGTCAACTGTCAGACATGAGACAAATAAGATGCACTGTTAATTTCAGAGCTGTTAAAAACTAAAAGTGAGTGCTTCTTAGAACTGATGAGCTATGCTATATAGGAAACCTCTGTATTTAATAGTTTAACTGAAGTTTGCTTTTCCCTTCAATGGCATTCCCATCTCTCTCAAATTACAGAATACATGTATTTTGTCAGAAGAACAATGATAAAACAGAGAAAGAACTCTCTGAGAAAGACTGATTCATGGAAAATGTCTCTCAAGTACTATGAAACTATTATTTACTTAGTACAGAGATACTATGGTGGATCCTGTGCTGGTACTGTAATTATAGATGATATTCAACTGAAAATACAACAATTATATTCTGGATCCAATACTACCTTTCTCTCTATTCTTATCAAACATTTCCCCTTTTCCTTTAGAAAAACACAAAAATATATATTTTGACATGTATGCCTTTATATGAACACATATACAAATAGATGGACATCCAGCATCTATGCACCTGTAATAAAAATGTCCAAGTAGCCCTAGCTGGTTGCTCAATGGTTAGAGCGTCGGCCTGCGGACTGAAGGGTTTTGGGTTCAATTTCGGTCAAGGGCATGTACCTTGGTTGCAGGCTTGATCCTTGGCCCTGGTCAGGGCATGGGGGGAGGCAACCAATTGATATCTCTCTCTCACACCAAGGTTTTTCTCTCTGTGCCTCCCCTACTCCTTTCCACTCTCTCTAAAAATCAGTGGGGGAAAAATATCCTCAGGTGAAGATTAACAACAACAAAAAATGTCCAAGTAAAAAGGCTGCCTTTCAAAGGTAAAAAATGGAGATACATATCTATAACACGCAGTAACTATCCTCAATGTTTAAGTCTGAGTGATACCGCTGTTATTATGCCCAAGAATACTGAAGGTTTTGGGTCATCAGAGGGAAAAAAAACTACACATTAATGCTTAAAAATGTCACTACACAAAAGAAGTAGCGAAATTCACAAATACTGTTTGTTTTCTGTATTTATACTAGTAATCCAACTGCAAATGCCTTACCAAATGTATTTAATAAATTGTTTCTACTGTTTGTTCCCATTAAACTTATTTTTTCATTCAAAGTTAAGGTAACACCTTAAATCAAGGTGAAACTTTCACTGAACAAATTTACTAAGATGTAACTAAGTATAACTGTTCTTCCCTGGTGCAGCCATTACACAGATACACAGATTTTTTCATTCAAAGTTAAGGTAACACTTTAGACCAAGGTGAAACTTTCACTGAACAAATTTATTTACTAAGATGTAACTAAGTATAACTGCTCTTCCCTGGTGCAGCCATTACACAGATACACAGATCAGAGAACAATTAACAGACATAAGAATCATCTCTTAATAAGTAATTCTTTCCAAAAAGTAAATAATAGTTTAATTATGTTATCTCTTAATCCAGGGGTGGGCAAACTTTTTGACTCGAGGGCCACAATGGGTTCTTAAACTGGACCGGAGGGCCGGAACAAAAGCATGGATGGAGTGTTTGTGTGAACTAATATAAATTCAAAGTAAACATCATTACATAAAAGGGTATGGTGTTTTGTTTTTTTTTAGTTTTATTCATTTCAAACGGGCCGGATCCGGCCGCAGGCCATAGTTTGCCCACGGCTGTCTTAATCTCAGGTATCAGCATATAAATTTTGTTGCAGCATGACTGTCCTAAACTATAATAAAAAGTGTAATATGCTAATTAGACCAGACGTCCTTCTGCACGACTTTCCAAATGAAGGTGGAACTGCAAGAGAAGACTGGGTCCCAGGTGCCTGCCAGCAGCCAGGGTGAAGCCCAGGTCCTGAGTGCCAGAGGGAAGCTGGTGCTAGCATCTGGGGAAGAAAGACCTACTCTTGCACGAATTGCATGCATTCAGCCTCTAGTATGAGATATAAGACTTGAAAATTTCGAAGAAATGTTTCAATTTAAACATCTTTAATTAATGACCATTAGTGGGTTATATAACAAGGACTATTAGTGAGTTGCTAAAGAAGAAATATATTCCTTAACTAGAAATGTAAGAAACAAAATCCATTCATTAATTTTTTTTCATTGATCTTCCACACCACAGATTAATTAGTAGGGAATCCAAGTTGGTATATACGCTTTAGCCAAAGAAGAGATGCAATCATGCGCAGGAAAAAAATTCATGAATCAGAGTATTCAGGTGTCTATTAAGAATCCAAACCATTTGTTAACATCCTTAAGACCATGACAAAATTACAGGTATGTAAAAAGCATTTGCTGAGCCAGCATCTTTTTCAAGAAGCAAAACATGTAGAAAATATACATATTTGTGAAAATTCATACATCTATTATTAACAGGCTATCTTAGTTTTAAAACAGTAAATGGTTGCCCGGCCAGCATGGCTCAGTGGTTGAGCATTGACCTATGAACCAGGAGGTCACAGTAGATTCCCGGTCAGGGCACATGCCTGGGTTGCAGGCTCAATTCCCAGTATGAGGCGTGCAAGAGGCATCTGATCAATGATTCTCTTTCATCCTTTATGTCCCTCTCTTTCTCTCTCTCTCTCTCTCTCACTCCTTTCCTCTCTCTCCCTTTCTCTCTCTTTCTCCCTCCCTCCCTCTCTCCCTTCATCTCTGAAATCAATACAAATG